GAGAGAGAGAGAGAGAGAGAGAGAGAGAGAGAGAGAGAGAGAGAGAGAGAGAGAGAGAGAGAGAGAGAGAGAGAGGTTAGTTGATTATCAGAATGGCGTGTGTGGGAATAGCAGCGGCTGTAGCTACCCTGGAGGTAGTCGTGGCTAAGGCAATTTCGGAGACAGCCCGTTTCTTGCGAGATATTCGGGCTGCATGCGGTGAACACGAACGGATTTGTGAGGATTTGGACACAATTTGCAGGGATTGCTTGGCTATGCTGGAGCTCTGGTCGCGCACTTCACAAACCTTGCTGCAAAGGAATCCGAACCTTAAGCCAAGGTTGGAAGAGCGAACCAGTTGCGTGGACCAGATGGTGAATAAGGTGCGTAACCGAGTGGAGCATGAAGCGCTAAACCCCCCTCGTGGCAATTGGTTGGCGCGCAGGATTACAATAGCCGCCGCTGCTAAGAGTCTAAAGCAGGCGAAAACCGAGTTGCTGAACGCTGAGGAGCGGCTGAGAAAGCTCAACGACGCGCGCAACTGGAACGAAGTGATCGAGATGCTCGCTGGCGGCTGTACCGCTGTGCCGGTCGATTACAATCAAGCATCTGCGTCGTACGGACAGCAGCCGGCGACGTCGTACGGACAGTACCCGGCGACGTCGTACGGACAGTACCCGGCAGTGTCGTACGGACATGTGTTCGGACTTGCCCCGGCTGCTCCTGCGACTCAGGAGTATCCGAGTCAGCAGGAGTACTATACCGAGGTGTATGCACCTCCAGGATCCATCTTGATATTTGATTGATGTGATTGGGTACCGCGGCGCAAAAGAGAGCGGGACCGGGGGCAAGGTCCCACTTGCACGGATTAAGAGATTCTGGCCGTTGATCTTTGCGATCTACGGTCAACATCGCGTAATTTGTGTAAGTGAGACCTAGCCCCGGGGCACGGTCTTCCCGCGAGCAAAAGAGCCAGGCATCATCAACAGCTGTCGGGGGCCTCGTGGGCTAGATGAAAAAATGCAGCCATAAGGACAAGGCGTTCTGTTCGGGGGAGGAGGAACTTCAAGGTAGAGTTGTGCCTCACCTTTTTGGTTACTACAGATAGATAAACTAGTGAAGGGTCTGGACTCTGGATTACATTTTTGGTTGCCAGTTCTTCCTTATTATTGAGCTTGAGATCTGCAGAGATTATAAACTAGTGTCTGCTCTACTTTTCGGTGCTTCAAGATTAAGTTTTTTGGAAAGCAATGTGATTTTAGGGACGCTGGACCCGGTTTCCAGCAGGGGGACGTTCCTATAAGCTAAACTGGCTGAGGCTGCCAGGATAACTCCGGGTTGAATTGTGAGGTCCCCGACCTCGTCCCTTGATTTTTGCAATATATTGATGACTTTCCAAAAAAAAAAAAAAAAAAAAAAAAAAAAGAATACAACGCAAACACACACCTCTTCCCATTAGGGATCTGCTTCTTGAGCCTTGTCTCGTCCTGTCTCTTGCCTCTGGTTCTCAGCGGACATAGGGCCTCGCCACACCTCTCTCTCGAAAACGGACAAAGTACGAGTGCATATTACCGCAGGCAGTGGCCAGATGAGTCCTAGTAACGGATGCATCTTGCCACTTTCTGGGGAAGATGCGTCATTACTTTTCTGAAGTTTTTTTCGTTCAAACAGTGGTCTGGCGAGGCCCCTTAGATCTCTCTCTCTCTCTCTCTCTCTCTCTCTCTCTCTCTCTCTCTCTCTCTCCGGCCTCGGCTGGCCCATCACGACTGTATTTCTGCAATATATATTCTAGTTGACGTCCCTGCTTCCCGGGGACGCAATCTGCACTGAGTCTCAGTCTCCGTCACGGATCATTCACAGTCAGCCTGAGCTTGCCGTTCAGGGGAGAAGCTGAATCTCCTGTGAAGAACGACAGTGAGGGGGGGGCACAGGGGGGAGAGGAGAGGGAGGGGAGTGAGGGGAGTGAGGCCCGTCAGGGAAGGGAAGGAGCGGAACGAGACGATCATAACAGTTGCATGAGGTCATTGACAAGCTTACTGCGCGCCAAGTTTATTTACCCCTATCCTTCATTTCTGACTGGGATTGCAGATACGTCGATATCGACGGTGGCAAACGAAGGACTTCGGCAAGTGGAACTCGGCTGCAGCCTGCAGATACAACTGAACCTGGGCGTCCTTGATATCGTTTGTGCAAGGAAGATGAGCATTAGCGAACTTCAGCAATCATACAGCATCATACATATGAGTCCAGATAGCCTTGACCTCGAACCA